CCAGCCCGGGGCAGCCCCGTGCTGCAGCTCTCCTTGGCTGTGCCAGATGCCAACCGCAACAGACGCACATGGGCACCAGGGCACGCGTCCCCTGGCCCGGGCTGCCGTCAGCCCCACGTTACCCTCGGGATGGGTCCAGCTGTGCCCATGCTGCAGCTTCTCCGCAAGGCAAGGAGCCAGGGCTGGTTCAGTCCTGTGTGATCTGGGAACCCCAGTTCCCTGGGCATGGGCATCGCGCAGAGTGAGGCTCCAGCTGGTGATGGCTCACAGTTATCACGTTCTCCATCATGATCTGTGGCTCTCCATCACACCCCATGGCTCTCCATCATGATACCTTGCCTCTCCTCGCTGTGTTTTTCACATCCCGCTGCTCTTCTCCTTCAGCAGACCCCACCCACAAGCATGCCCAGCCCCACCAACCCACGTTCCAGCTGCTGCATGTGCTGCAGCCAGGCCCCAGGAGGGCTTGTGGGGCTCCCAGGCCACCTCCTTCTGCTCAGCTCATGGCTCCATTCTGGGTGGTGGCTTCTCTTGCTCCAGTCCTGCCGCCTCCTACGGGTAGCACCTCCAGCTCTAGCCCACCCCTGTGCTGGGTATCCATGCTGCAGTGAGGCCCCGTGCCTCCTTGCCCCAGTCCCCAGCACTTCAGGACTCTCCGGATCACTTTAATTTCGGCTCACATGGCCCCATGGTGAACCATGGCCAGATGCGGGACTCATTGGCACGTCGTGGGTCCACGGCCCACTGCAATGGAAACGTATGGTAATTGCATGGGATCTTCAATAGCGTCACTGGGCCAAGCTGGAGCAGGGAGCTACTGTCCAGCAGTTATTAACTGCTGAGTTTTAGCCCGTTTTTACTGAGTCGCTCATTCGTACGTCCCAGGCCCGCAAGAGCCAGGACTCTGGAGGAGCTCCCATCACCCATGGCTCTGAGCTGCGGGAGCCAGCAGCGGGATGGGGCCTCGTGTAAAGCTGGGCTCAGAAAAATGCCAGGGCTTTGGTCTGTTCAGTGCAGGTTGCAGTTCTGCATCCAGCTGGTGCTGCTTGGACAACATGCAAGGAGCCATGCGATGAAGGCTGCTTGTGAGTGGGTGAAACGAAGGCTTGATGCCTCCGAGATGTGCGGAGGGTCAGATCCTGGAGCGAGGGCACCTCTGTGGGCTGGCCCAGATGAAGTGGGTGCTGAGCATCCTCCAGGCTGAAGCCCCACATGCGTCGCTGCTGCTGGCAGGGAGACGGCTCCTGACCCGCCGAGCTTGCTGGGACTGACTTGTGCCTCATGTGCAGGAGAGGGGGGGGCTCAAGTGACGATCCCGTCAGCCTGGGAGACACGGCAGTGCGGGCTGGCCAGGTCTGCGTGTCCCCAGATCCAAGGTGCCTGTGTCCTGCTTTGCCCCGACATGCAATGCTAGTCTCATTTCTGCAGCAAGCAACAGGCTTTGCCTGACAGATGCCACCCAAGGAGCTGAACAAGCTCTTTAATCACTTACGATGAAGTTCTTCCCACTTGCAGCTGGCTGTAATGCAGGCAGCTGCTTCCCAGCCACAACACATCGGTGACCTTAAACACAGGCAGGCAAATCCTTCTGTTGCTACATTTCTCCTGATTTTGTTTTTAATCCTGATTTTCTCCTAATTTTTCAGCCTGTGGGTCAGTGACGGTGCCGCAGGGCAGCTGGGGCAGAATGGCTGCACATCCGACCTGCGGCCGCTCTCCCCATCTGCTCCCAGGGCCACACAAAGGCACCTC